GAGCTTAAGAATTTAACTTATGAAGGGACAAAGCAGTAGCTGGCCCTTGCAGCCTGTGCAGGCAATCCTCCAAGGCAGCCTTCATGATCAGTTAAGGTCTCCTGGATTAAACACCAGTATCTTCACTGCATGAACACCCTTACAAGGTCACCCAAGGACAGTCAGGAAAGCAAAACGGAAGGCTGTCCTTCCCACAGGGTCTACTCTGAATTTCTGATTCCTGTACTCTAAAGTATGGACACCGCCATCAAGTCTGCCAGGGCCACCGCAAGGGTTGATTACATACAGCTAAGAGGACATGAATGTCAACTGCCAGTCAATTGTTGTATGTCCAAGATGATTTTTTGGTAGAGACGGGCTGATCCGTAAGTATGGGCACTTGCCTATGATTTAGGCTCTTTCCCCTTTCCTATCATTCCTTCTGTTTTGTGTAGACAGAAAAGCCAAACCCAACCACATGCTGCCGAGTGCTGAGTCTGATGGACTGAAGTTGACATTATCGTTTAAATATTTACCACCGCACAGCTAAGCAAGAGCAAACTCACTTCACAGCATGATCACTGACCCATCCAGACAGATCTAGAACGCAAGGGGTACTCTGAGGGGGCATCTCTATTCCGCTCACACAGTGAGGATGCCTGAGCATCAGCAACAATCAATGCCTGGCACGTGGCAGGTGTTTAACCAACATTTGCAGTTGATTGAAGAGTCAATGAGACAATTAAATGTTCGAATGTTCTGTGACAAAAGTATTTCTTAGTGGGTATGCACTGTGATTCTAGAGGAAAGACAGCCTTTCCCAAGCCCACGGTTGTTATCTTCATTATTCCCAAAGCACCACGGGAGACCTGGAGTACAAATAAATGGGAAGGCTATCCCTAGCACGTGCAAAATATGCCTGATAAGTGTGCCCAAAGAGAAAACGTCAATTACACTGTCAGCCACCATCATCCCCAATGTGCAGCTGGTGCTAAACAAATGCACACGGTCATTTTTCTATTTCCTGGGTCACCACACTAAGAGTGTCTGTCACTGCTCTGCCAGGCACCCTGTCGTCTCCCTGCCTTTGGCTGGAGACCATGGCCATGATGTAGTCCTTAGTTTCTGTGTCTCCCTGCAGATGAGTCACAGTGTCACCCTACAGTGGAAAGCTAAGGCAAGGAAGAAGGCCACACAAGCTCCCTGAGAGGCGGGAGTGGAGTTACCTACCTCTGAAATAGGGTCCAAAGTCACTTCATAATATCTGCTTTTAGAGGCACAGTATCTTAAACATGTGTGCAAGCATGCAGTTGTGTGTGTGTGTGTGTGTGTGTGTGTGTGTGTGTGTGTGTGTGTGTTCCTGCTCTGGAGTTTTGAGTGCAGGCATCTCTGAAGGTCAAAAGTGAGTGTCAGATCCCCTGGAGCTTGAGTTACAGGCAGCTGTGGCAGGGATGAACCCAGGTCCTCGGCAAGGGCAGCAGATGCTGTTACCCACAGGGCCACCATTTCTCAGGCCTCTTCAGTGTCAGTTTTAAAGCCTGGCCTAATGGTGCAGGCTGAGGCAGGAGGACCACAAGTTTGGGCTTTACATGGAGCTACAGAGTGAGTTCAAGGCCAGCTTGGATAGCTTGGTGAGACCTTGTCTCAAAATAAAAGGATTAAAATATCTGGAAATATAACGGGGATGGGACACTTTCCTAGAATGCATGAGGCCCCAAGTTCACTCTTTACTACTGAAAAACAAAAACAAAACAAAATAGAAATAGTACTTAAGTAAGTATCCAAGGTTCAGAACCCTAGTAGTGAGTTGCAAATATCATACAGTAGCAAAATATAGGAACATGGACCATTGTCCTGCCTGAGTACATGTTTTAGGGTCACGAAACACTACTTACAACAACTGCCTGTGTGATACTCATGGGATGGGACCAGGTCTGTCATGGGCGAACAAATTCCACCAGACTCTCATTTTGGTTTAGATCCAAGTGCCCATGCTTAAAGCAGCAATCCTTAAGGCAAAATCTAAAACTTCCTCGGTGCTAATGAAGATGACCAATCTGTATGAAATAAGCTGCATAGGTATCAACGAAGGAACTCCGCTTATTGTAATTTTGCCCCTAAGAAAAGTTGCAGTCCAGAGCCTACTACAGAATCATAGAGTTCAGATAAACAAAGTCACACGACACTTGGCTTTTGTTTGTCTTAAACATCTGGTTCCAGAGCTGTGCAACCAGCTCAGAGGAGTAACCAAGCGAGCCTAGACAAAGCTCTAGACTGTGTTTAATTTTTTTTTTAAATGTGGTTATCAATAGCCTCAAATGTGGAAGATACCAAGGAAAGACTCCTACCTTTGACTTCAGTAAAGGACAGTAAAATAAAAGGTTAAAAATAGCCAGCATGTATGGCTTTAATCATTCTGAAACTCAGCTTATTCTCAGTAGAGCAACCAAGACTCTGGCACCACACAAGGAAGGAGAGAGGCAAGCCAATGCCTGGAAGCCCACATGGACAGTGAGCAAAACGAAGTGTGAAATCACAGCTCTGTTCATCACCAAGTCTCCATCCCAGCTACAGATGCTTACACTGTGGCATCCCCACACAACTAAACTACCATAGGTGTGTTCCAATAAAATTCCGTGGGCACTGAAATTTGACAGTCTAATCTCATGGAATACTACCTTTAAAAAAAAAAAGTTCCAATCACTTAAAAGTGGAGATGCCACCACTGGCTTACAAGTCGTATCAAGGCAGGCATTGGGCTGTATTTGGCCAACATGGCGACTGCTTATCTGAGTTCATACAGCACCGGCCTACATATAGCAGACAGAGTAACACACATCTAAGAACAAACCCCACACTATTGCTAAGTAAAGGCTAAAGCAGTATCATAAGCCATATGCTTCTCCTTGCCATCCATTTACGACATGAAGTGTTAATAGTTTTCGTTATGATGTTTACATATTTACTATTGTGTGTATGACATGTGTGTGACTGTGTGTGAGTGTGTGTGTGTGTACGTGAGTTTGTGTGAGAGCGTGTGAGTGTGTGAGAGTGTGTGACTCTGAGTGTGTGTGTGTGAGATTGTGTGTATGAGTGTGTGTGTGCACACATGAGTGTGCAAACACACTTGTAGACTTGAGTTTGTTGCCTAGAAGAAAAGATAAGAGGACAATGTCGATTCTCTCCTTCTATCCTGTAAATCTGAAAATGGAACTGAGGTTGTCAGGCTCGGTGGCCAGCCTCTTTTTTCTCAAGTGAGTTGCTTATCCTATGATTCAGATGGAATCATCAAGGGCCGAAGAGGATTCTGCAATATTTAAACTTTTTTCAGAAGTAACTTTTTCTTTCCATATTGGAAGGAAAAATTCAATGTAAAGGGCCACAGTGATGAAAGCAGATACCCAATTAAAAACTAGAAACCGGGGGCTAGGGGTACATAGCTTTGTGGTCAATGGAACACTTGCCTGACATGGGAGTGGCCATGGTTCCCATCTATAGTGACACACAACCATACTGAAAGCCACAGACTTCATCACATGAGAAGACAAAGGTGACATCAGCCATGTCTGTGCTTGCACCCAGATCTACAGGGCCTAACTCTCCCCCACCTCAGCTTCCCTGGAGATGAATGGACAGACACCTGGGGGAATGGCAGGGAAAGACTCAAAGGATTTCAGGGCAAGAACACCACACGGGGAGGAACAATACAGCAAGGGCAAAGCCATTTCCTACCTGTCTATCACAGCTAGAAAGGGAAGAGGAAACTAGAGTGGGGTAAACCAACCAACAGTGGCCTACTGACTCCTGAAGCAACACTGAAAGGCACACACGCTTGACAGAGTGGGAAAGACGGACGGCAAAGGAGAAAGTGGCCTGGGAATCCAAACGAGACTCGTGAAGATCCAGAAGCCTGGGAAAGCTACAGTGTTAAAGATATTGACTTGAAAATTATAAGGAATTAAATGTGGGAAGGAGGAGAAAGCCCATGGTGGGCATCATAATTGTTAAAGCTTATTAAGAACAGCGTTAGATTTTACCTCACGCTTTGAAGCTGCCTTTATAAGATTACCTACGAAATCTAATTACTGCCACATGTAGGCACATTAATGAAAAGCTTTACGTTCATGAAAAAGTACAAAAAAAAAATGTGTTTTATCTGAAATCCACATCTCAATAGTATGTTCTTAGCGGTTTGGATACTAAATGGTACATTCACCAGCCCATTTCAAGAAGGAATCTGCAAATCTAAGACTTTAAAAGGACCGCCAAGGTCACAGCCTGGGAAGAAGGGCCCCATAAAACCTTCAGGCTCGGCTGTGGTTGGATCAATCATTACCTTTCCACCCTTTCTTCAAAAAGAACTGAATGCTCAGTGATGTTCAATAAGGTAAGCAGTTTCTACTTAGTGGGAAATTCACTAAGCTCTCCTCTGTAGGGGAATAAAGAGAGAGAGAGAGAGAGAGAGAGAGAGAGAGAGAGAGAGGCCACACACACATCCCTGCATCCTCTGAATGCTTCACGATCACGATTTCCCGGGCACAAGGGAGTCCCTAAGGCTCTGAGGCTGAGAAAGGAGGTTCCCTTCAAGGCCTGCTTTGTGTGGTTGCTGGAAATCGTGCTATTTGAGTCCCACAACTGGAGTCCCACTTTCCACACACGTTTGCCAGAACAGACATCCAACTATTCCCCATATGTTTCTTGAGAAAGGATCACCTGGGCAATTTCCAGCAATCCAGCTGAGGCATGGCCAACGATAACAGAGAGTAAACGGTAACTAGCCTTTGCAGGAAGGGATGCAAGGCTAAACTGGAATGAATCCTTTTAGTTACAGCAGCCTCCCTCCCCAGCTACTCAGCCATGGAGCACAGCACTCGAGAACTACGAGCTCTTTTATCCAACCAACACCCAGTAGGCAGTGTCCTGTGACTACGGTCAATACTCCCCAGCTGTCCCTATTGCCGAGAGAACGCCAAGCAGTGACAGCAAACCTGATGGCATCCACGGATCAGACGTCGGTTTGGTCAAGGTGTTCACCTGCTCCCAATTGAAGTCATCATCGTCAGCTTGACTATATCCACATGTGCTGTACGGTTCATCAAAGAGGCAGCCGCCTACAGGGGGGAGAAAGAGAGGCAATGTCTGTTACAGCCAGAAGTCCGAACTGATCTGAGATGCATCAGGAAGATAGCCATGCACTTGACATCAAACCAAGTCTGGTTTGACTGTTTTGCTTGGAAACTGTGGATCTGACCCCTTCCATGACCTTGCTGAGTGTTGCCGAGTATCAACCATGCCTTAGCAGTACAGATACATTATGTTCCTCTCTAGAAGGAACCTAATGTTGTTAGAAGAAAACCGAATAGGAAAATCTAAAAGTCACATTTTCCAGATGTATACTGAACTTAGAAAATTCATCTTGCATCCAAAACTTGAAAAGAATTCCCTCAATGATGCAATCCGTTTTCAAATGAGAGTTATAATTTGCTAAAAAAAATATTAAAGAGAAATGTTTTCACTAAAACACTGGTGTAACGATAAAGGACAAGTCATACTACAAATGATGAGCGTGGCCTATACAACATTTTTCAAAATATCCTTCTCCATCTTACACAGAAGCAAGCTTCAGCTTATGGTTTAAGAAATCTGAGGTCATATTCAAAGTAGATTACAGAGTCACTTTATAGCCCACACAAGCCTCAGTGACAGACATTTCAAGGCTAACCATGTGGCAAACATTTGCTTGGTTTTGGTACAATGAATGAAGCTATCTAAATAAAAAGAAATGGCTGCATCAGGACCGATGCCATTCAGCACATGGATGGTTTTCAGACCCACCCTAAGGCTCTGAGATGCCCTTTGCTTTGAATTACTCATATTGGTGGGTTTTTGTTCAAATGATTCACAAAGGGGCAGTCAGTGATGACACTGATCACAGCAATGATCATGGCAAACCTGCTACCCATTTTATAAGGAAAAGTAGATGTTGCAAAGTCGGTTGCATCCTAAGTAAATCCCTCTAATTCAAATTATTAATTACAACTGCTGGCAGTTGGTAACAAGTGACAAGGAGACGCAGCTTTAGGGCTATTACTGTACTATGCCTGCCAGGTACACCCTGGAGGCAGAAGGCAAGGAAAACAGCAATTGTAAACCAGACGGAAGATGGAATTTGAAGGTCACCTGCCCTAATTTTCAATCCCCAAATCTAAATCAGTCTCACGCCTTCCTCAACGGCCAGGCATCCTCTGAAGACACGAGAAACTGCTCATTTTGTATGTAGGAACTTCCCAGAACATCCCCAGACGTTCTAGTCTTCACGGTGCCTCTTGAAATGAGCAGGCATTTATCTTCCTCCACCCCACAAGGCATCAGCTAACCACGCAGCTCCTGTGCAGGAAAACTGACAGTTTGAAAGGAGCCGCCGTGTTCTATGTCTTAGCTTCCCCCGGCAGTACGTGCTCTGCTCTTCCCATACCTCCTGTGAGGTTTGTAGACCTGTCAGTACCCTGCCTGGTGTTCCCTGAATACTTGTCCCCAAAACTAGTACCTGTGCTGGTGCAAGAACCGACCTGACCCCTGCCCCTGACCTCTCACCCTGACAACAGCTTGGCCAGAAGCATAGGCCCATCCTGAGCTAAACTTTCATGTGTTTCCATGCCTGCCATCAAGTCAAGTCGTTTCTGCGCGCGCGTGTGCGTGTGTGTGTGTGCGTGTGCGTGTCTGTGTGTGTGCGTGCGTGTGTGTGTGCGTGTGCGTGTGTGTGCGTGCGTGTGTGTGTGCGCGCGCGTGTGTGTGCGTGTGTGTGCGTGCGTGTATGTGTGTGTGCGTGTGCGTGTCTGTGTGTGTGTGCGTGTGCGTGTGTGTGTAAGGTATATGTATGTGTGTGTCTGTAAGATGTATGTATGTGTGTGAGAGAGAGATGTATATATGTATGTGTCTGTGAGGTGTGTGTGTGTGTCTATGTGTGTCTATGTGTGTGGTGTGTATCTGTCTGTGTGTGTGAGGTGTATGTATGTGTGTGTGTAAGATGTGTGTGTGTATGTGTGTGAGGTGTTTGTGTCTCTGTGTGTGTAAGGTGTGTGCGTGTGTGCGTGTGTGTGCGTGTGTGTGTGCGCGTGTGCGTGTGTGTAAGGTGTATGTATGCGTGTGTCTGTAAGATGTATGTATGTGTGTGAGAGAGAGATGTATATATGTATGTGTCTGTGAGGTGTGTGTGTGTGTCTATGTGTGTCTATGTGTGTGGTGTGTATCTATCTGTGTGTGTGAGGTGTATGTATGTGTGTGTGTAAGATGTGTGTGTGTATGTGTGTGAGGTGTTTGTGTCTCTGTGTGTGTAAGGTGTGTGTGTGTGTGTGTGTGTGTGTGTTTGTGTTCTCTGAATTCACAGGACTGCCCACTTATCCTTGCTAAATCCATTTTGTTTTCTATGCACCACCACAGTCCGTGGACAGCTCCGGAAGTCCTGACACCATTACTTGGGAATTAGTTATCCTATCTAGAATTACGTTGTAGAATAATCACAATTACTCACAAAATCCAAAATGCTCTTGAATTTGAAAAACTTCTCCTCATTGATATAATTCAACAAACTCAGATACTCCCATACTTAGTTTCAGGTGATAGATTAATATCAAAATCCCAATAAAAATAATAATGCAAAAATCATCATCAGGCCGTATGTGTCGACCTACATGAAACAAATGAGTTCTGTGTTTCGACCTTAGTCATAGCGCTGGGATAGCTCATCTTATATGCCCAAGGCTTTCGAAACACTCACCCAAACCCAAAACGTTTCTGGCCCCTAGCAGAAAGGAGTACTCTGTCAAATCTGCCTGCATGTGCTGGAAAATGTCAGACCTGGGTGAGTCAGGGAAACTCAGGTTGTCCCAGACAGTCTCTAGCTCTTTAGCATGTCTCAGTCAGCACTCCAGGCCCAAGGGGGAAATCAGCTGCTGTCTCCTGGGATGCTTTCAGTTCTTACAGTCCCGACTAACCCTTCCCCTGGGAACACAACGCTCAGTATGAAAGGCACAGAATTAAACTCAAAAGTTTAATCTCACAACAAACGATCGTCCATGTGCCCCCCTTCTTGAGTTGTAAGAACTTCTGAAAAAAAGTGGATCTTCCCAGCACCCAATGGGAATACTGTTCCAATATGGGTGAGATGTGGGGGGAAAAAAACAAAACCAAACAAAAAAAACCACGTGTGACTATCCATGAGAAAACAGAAGTGCCCGTGGTGTGGTTGCAAGTTGTGGTTGACTTGGAGAATAGCTTCATCCTGAAGGGACGAGCCAGACAGAAGTAGCACAAACAACAATGACCAGAAGAGAAGCATCACCCATGTTGACATAAAGCGGCTTCTGGAGAAAGCCCAGACACCATGGGCTTGCTAACAGTGGGAGTACCCACAACACGACATTTGGCTGGGTTAGCATCTGGTCTTCCCAATGGCTGTTGGGACTAATGATGTAACATGATGATGAGGTGATGATGGGTATAGTAGAGAGGAAGCTGGAAGAGCAATACTTTGACAGTGTGTGGAGAGGGGTACCCATCACGCAGTGTGGCTCTGGTTGCGTGAAACGAAGCATAAAGGGAGAATGCATGTCTTTCCGAGACGATGCATGATTGTCAAACAAAGATGGCACCCTCTGTGCATCATTTCCCAGTGTTTGTTACCTTGCATTTCGCGCTTTACCAGTGAGACCTTGTGATGGTAAAGATGGTTTCTTGAAATAAAATAGAAGAGGGCAACAGGAAATGATGTCAGAATTGAAATAAACAAATCCCAGTTCTCCTAAGGCTGAGACCAGAAGGCTGCAAGGGAGAGGTCAGCTTGGTATGCGTGGCAAGTTTGAGACCCGTGTTGGAGACACTACAAAACCATCCCTTACGAAATAACGAAACTGAGAAGGAGGAAGGGAGGGTAAGGGAGAGGAGGGAGGGAGGGGAGGGAAGAGGAGGGAAGGGGGAAGCAACCAATCAAAGAGAATAATTTAGTTATGGGTCCTAATTCAGTATTTTACTGAAGCAAAAGACAAGTTCCAGAGTCAAGCCCCCCTCCCGCCCCCTCCCACCCCCTCCCGCCCCACCCCCGCCCCCAGTTTTTGTTGTTGTAGTTTTGAAATCAGCAGAGTGAAAGAACAGGTCTCTTGGGTCTGGAGGGATGGCTTAGCATTTAAGATTATACATTGCTCTTCCAGGAAACTGCACCCTGATCCCAGCACCTAGTGACACAGCTCACAGCTAACTATAGCTCCAGGTCCAAAGGATCCAATGTTTCTTCTGACTTGTCAGACAACTGGTATCTGCAAGCCCACAGAAAAAAGAGGAAATCACTTGAGAGCAATGCACTATCTGCACTGCAGTCAACATAGCATTCCCTGTCACGAGAGCATGACAGGTACCACAATATTAAAAATATGTGTATATAAGAATGGGAAAGGAGAGGCTGGAGAGTTGACCCAGAGGTTCAGCACATTTGCAGCCCTTGCAGAGGATCTGAGTTTGATTCCCAGCACTCACTTGGCTTCTTAAAATGTCTATAACTCCAGGACACAGAGATCTGACACCCTCTTCCGGCTTCTGAAGGCACTGCACACATGTGGTACACAGGCATACATATAGGCAAAACACAGAATACTACAACAATGAATTTTAGCTGGGCATAGTGTCACAGGCCTTTAGTCCAGAATTTGGGAGGCAGGGACAGGGGAATCTCTGAGTTGGAGGCCAGCCCAGTCTATAGAGTGAGTTCCAGGACAGCCAGGGATACACAGACAAATCCAATATAAAAGTAGGGGGTAATACATCCCCTCAAACTCAGTGCATTAATAGCCTACAATAATTTTACCAGAAAATTTAAAAAATATAAGTATGAAGGAATGCCCCTCAGACAAAGTACACTTTGATAATTCAACCCCTAATAGCACTGAGCCAGATTCGGGGTTATCTCAGGGTGACATGGTGGCAAACTTGGCTGTATGACCCAACCTCTTCCCTTTGTATTGTGGCTGAAAAACGGTAAGCCAGTTAAATGTTAATGAACCCTCTACAAACTGCAGCTCACCAACATTCTTTTACTCTGGCGATAATTAGGTAGCAAGTC